CCCCCCCTCTCCCCTTCCGCCAGCCGACGCAAGCAGAACTTATTGCGCGGACCAGTCGTGACGTCGAACTGTTGTACGAGTGCGAAGGAGACAGATGTGTCCCTCCAGCACCTGTCGCACACCACCGCCCGCGCCTCCTCACGCCCCGGGCCCTCCTTTCTCTCTCACACACTCTAACTCTCTCTCTCTCTGTCTCTCTCTCCCTCTCTCTATTACCCGCGCACACTGCGCACAACGCTCCCAAGCCAGCCAGCAAAGCAAGCCCCTTTATCTCCATCTAGGAGGCGGGGAATTTTAAATGCAGCGCTTCCGCTCCCCGGCTCGGCTCGGCCTGGCCTGGCTTGGCGAGCCGCTTGGCTTGTCCCGGGGCCCGGAGCAACGAGTTCACCGGAGGGCTTGACCCTCCCCCCCCTTTCCCTCCACACCTCTGCATTACTGAACAGAGTGTCCCCCCCTCTCCTCCTCCCCCGCTCCGCTAGGCTGGCTGGGATAGGGCCGACACCGGCGGGGCGGAGCGCGGCGTCTGTTTGCACGCCTCGTTTTGGCGACGACGCTCTTCTTGTCCGTGTCGACGACTCCTCCGTCCCTCCTTCCTCCTCCTCCTCCTCCTCTGGGACCTAATGCACACACACACACACACACACACACACCTGTATACTCCAGCGAGCATCAACCCCACCTCTGCCCTGGGTGCTCACGCTAGAGTAAGCCACCAGCACAGGGCGTCGTCGTCGCCTGATGAGTTTGCGCCTCTCTGCCCTTCCCCCTCCACTTCACCTCCAGCAGCAGCAGCAGCAGGCCGTTGGTTGTCATTATCAGGACTCAAGGCACGCACACACCCTCACACACACAGACACACACACACATATACACATAGGCACACGTTCTCAGAGCCACGATCGGGAACGGACAGCATCGCCAATTAATCGTATCGCGACGACTCATCATGTGCGACACGGCCACCAAGGCGGATATGGCAAAGATGCAAATGAAAACAACGAGTTGTAATAATAATGTTGATAGTACATTCAGAATAATAATAAAAGCAAAGATCGACCCGAGGGATAGGATGAGTCGCAAGGAAAACATTTCGTCGCCGTCGTCGTTCGGGTGACATGACAGTGCGAAGTCTTGTGGGTGTGGGCGTGGGGTTAGTTCAGTTAGGGTCTTGACCTCTCCTTCACCCGACCGGCACACACACATACACACATGAGACATGCCTCAACTGGCGCGACTGTGGCGCAATAGGCACCACAAGGCGGTACAATTATTGCGATTGCCTCTCGATCGTTCTCCTCGCGCCCCGCCGCTTATTGGACCGTAAGGCGATGACGCATCGCTGCTGCTGCTGCTGCTGTTGCTGCCTCTTGATCGCGATGAGTTATGCTATTCGTTTGGAGTGTCGTCTCTCCACGGCGCAGACAAAAGGGACCGGCGGCGGCTGTGGACGCGCGCCGCGGTGGGCGCGGACGGCGACAGCTCAGCGTGCGCGCGACCCTGGCGGGGCGCGGACGGAGCACTGACTCATCCCCTGCTCCCTCGCCCGCACAGCCACTCCGTGTGATCCAGCACATCCACCTGCCCGCGCTCATTAACTAGCCAGTACACGCGCCTAATGCGGTGCACTATAGTCAGGCTAAATGGTTCCGTGCGCGGGTATAAATGATATAAACGAGCCTGCGTATACAGTGTTCTGATTTTCCTCGCGGCACTCTCACCAGGACCAAAAAAAAAAGGTCCTCGGATGTAATTAATTACTTGGTGTGGTAATGGTTCGGGGGCGGCGGCGCCAGGATAGTCTCCCCTCCGGGGGGCGGCTCCGGCGCGGAGGCGGCCGGGGCGTAAAAAAAGGAGTGCGAAAACAGCGAGGCGAGCGACGGCCAGTGCTGCGTCTCACCCCGGGATCCCACCATATTAATTTTGACCTCTTTTAAAATTTTATTTATAGGTCCTAACAACCGATGTGCCGAAGGACACCCTCATAATAAAGCATTCCGGAAGTCCCATGTAAAAGCATTGTGATTTTCGTTTTCTTCTTCCTCGCATTCTTCTGCGTTTTAGCTTTATCGGAATGCTTTATTAGAACAATTTGCAGGGTTCAGCCCATTTCTCTGGCGTACAGCGGGCACTAGCGGGGTGCGCGAAGGGCGGGCGTTAGAGAGGGCCAACAACGGCATACTACGGCGGCGGGCTGCTCGGCTGCTCGGGCCAGTGGAAGTAACGCCGGGCAGGAGCGGTGGGGTTGTAATAAACGCAGACGACAGTCTTAATTCCGCAGCAGCTCCGGGCATTTTCCTTATTTTCGGCCCGGCGTGGGCCGTAGGGCGGGGGTGGCCGGGGACGGTGGGGGGGAGGGGGTAATGTTACAAGGCCGAGGCCCGCCGTCCTGCTCCCTTATATTATGTGGGTCAGTGGGGTGACAAAAACAACAACCACCTCCTCCCCCCTCCCCTCTGCCACACCAATCTCCTCCGCTTCCATCCACATCAGAACAACACGACTATCACTGGTATTCGAACTCGTCTGCCCCCCCCCCCCCTTCCGCCCTGCTAACTGCTGCCGCTCGCGGGTCAAGGAGACGCGAGGACACGACAAAGTTTCCACCCCTCGGATGACAATCGGGAGGAGTACTGCGCGGCGCATCGGCCAGCAGGCGACTCACGTGCCCCCCGCCCGCCGCGCTCCCCGCCATCCTTTTCTTCCATTTGCAAAAGCAATTGCTCCCAATCGAATACCAGCGGGCCGGCCTCAGCAGCATCGCCCGCACCCTCTGGCCCGGGTGGCGGCGTGGCGTGGCGGGCAAGGCCAGGAGGAGGGTGCGGGCGCGGGCTGCTCTGAAACTGACACCTCACCGACCACGCGGGGTTGCGCGACAGCGAGGCGGAGCAGCTTTTAAACGAGGATGAGAGAGAGATATATGTATATATATATATGTCAGATCGGGTAAGGTCTGCACCGCCTTTGCACCTCCTTTGTGCCTCGCCCTCGCCGCCGCCGCCACCGCGCCCCGCTCGGGTTGCACGCCGCCGAGTGTGTGTGGCGCACAATAATAGCGCCGAGGGTCCCGGAACGCTTTTACGACAGTTGTGCAGGAGTGGCGTATCACGCGATCACGTCCCGCGGCCCTCGCGGCCAACGCGGGGGGGGGGGGGGGGCTGCCCGTAAAGCCGCGGACAGCCGAGAGCCTACAGCCCGGGCTCAGGCAGGTGGGTTCGAGTGATTCGGCCCGGCCTCGTGTTCGTGTTGACTACATACTTGGTTGTTCAGGGCTGGCCCCTCTGGCCCCGCCCCTGGCCACCCTCCCTCAGCAGGGTGCAGTACAGGGTCTTTATTGTCAGCTGGCCCGGAACCCCCGGGCTGCCAGTGGCGTAGCGCAAAACTATACGACGGGCCTGCGTGGGTGAGAAAGAGAGAGCCGCGTGCCCTACCGCCGCACACCCGGGCGCCCTCTAGGGCTCTGGCTGCCGTGGCCTCGTGCCCTCGCCGCTCTGCTTTTGGGACCAATAACGTAGTTGCGTGTGGCCTTGTCGTAGCGTCGTCGCGCAAGCGCCCGTACACTCACCGCGCGTCTGAAAAGTCCCCGACAACCAAGCCTGCCAGTACTAATTTCTGTTTGTTTTTCTCTGCAGGAGAGCAACAAGAACGACGAGGTGGATGTCGACATCGACGAGCTCCTGGATATGGATGACGACAACCAGAGGAGGATACACTTGCAGGTGCGTTGTGGGTTATATCGCCACCGCACGTGCGGCGGTGATGCTGCGAGCCGGCGGGTCGGTCACGAGTGAGCCGGTATGGTTGGCGCCGGCAGAGGGAGTGAGACGCTGACTTTAACTTGAGAGAGGGCGAGCGCTCAAGACTTGGTGCCCTTTCAGGGAAAACCACACTCTCTGCATTATTTGTCTTCCCTGTCGATATATCGTTGCTGGAAGGGCGGCCTATAGCCGGGCCTAGCTGCCAGGGGCGCGGCGACTGAGATGTGGGGTCACGCAGTTTCGACGGCAGTCTCCGCCCTCCACCCTCCGCCCTTCACACTCCATCACCCAACCCCCAACCCCCGCAAGGCCCTCGAGCTATGGGGGTACACACGTAAAAAAAAAAAAAAAAACGCCATCAGCGCATTGTCAACATGAAACTACTCACGGGGTCGTGGACCGGCTCCGGGTGGCCCGAGATGTTCAACCGACCCTATAGCAGAAAAACCACGAATGGAGAATGCACAAAATATGAAACTTTTTAACTCTAACCAAGAGCAGCGCACTCGCTGTCCTCTGCAGAGTTCCCCTCGTCCAGCTGGGCTTATCGATCACTTACATACTCAATTATGGATTTCGTGCTGCCGCAGTCCGGGCTGGCGTGTCCTCGGTCCGACCCCGAACTCTTCTCTTAAGCCAGGGTCAGCCAGTCCGACATAATTCCATTGTTCGCTCCAGTAAGGAGGAGGAGTCTAAAATAAGGGAAGGGGTGGAGGACAACAAGAAAATGCGATTTTCAGTCCGCGCGACACAATGATAATAATGTTCCAAGAGTTTCCCCCGGAGTTCTCCCCGAGGGCTTGCTCCTTCCTTTTCTTTCTCATTCCGTATTCGCCGAGCCGAGTCCGGGGCTGTAGTCGGCCGCATTCGGGGCAATGAGCGACTAGGGGGGGTATCTTGTATTTTTTTTTCTCGCGCTCTTATTTTTTTGTGTGGAGGGGGAGCATATTGTCTGTCGTGTCCTGAAACGAAGACTGCTACTGTTGACGCGAACGGTACAGGGAAAGGTCCAGCAGAGGGTCCCGGCGAGTGCCACACGACAAGGGTTCGTCGAGAATGGAATAAAAGGCCGACAAAAAAGGGAAGGGGTCTTTGTAAGAGGAGCAGGGTCGGAATGAAAAGTCCGAGCACGGCGCACCGTGGGGGGGGAAGGGGCGGTCTAAATAATGTAAATGGCTATCGCTGTCCCCCCAGGCCCGCCAGCAACCCCCACACAGCCTCACACCGCCCAACCCCACCCTCCTTGCCTTCCCACCCATCCCTTCGCCCGCGCGGAGCAAACTCGTGCGAACTCTGGAAATCTGTGCTCAGCACCAATCAGCAGCGGCGCCCCACCCTCACCCCTCCTGCCCCCTGCTCCAGGGAGGGGCGCGCACCGCGCGCGCCCGTGAGTGGAGCGCCTGGGCGGTAGGCAACCTCCGGCCCGCAGTGCAGCCGTGTCCCCGCACTGCCTACCTTCCAGGCGATCTGGCCGGGGCTCTCTCCTCTCCCAGAGCTGGAGCGCACGGCTGGAGCGCCTGGTCAATAGGCAACCTCTGCCCCTCGGCACAGCTCTGTCTCCGCGCTGCCTACCTTCCAGGCGCTTGCTCTCATATGCAGGATTCCATTTGGGCGTGTTTTGGGCACCAAAAATAAACAGATAAAAAGATAAAGAGAGGCGGGCTCATCGTCCACCCTCCAGCCAGGTTGGGTGTGCCGGCATGTCGTGAGCTCGGCCCGGCGCCGCGGCGGGGGCGCCAGGGGACTCGGAAAGAGGGGGGGGGGGTTCAGAGACAGGGCCGGCAGGTCCCACTCACGTGCGAGAGGTACTGCCGCATGTCGGGGCGGGGCCGGCGTGGCGTGGCGCGGCGTAGCTGGCGCTATTTGTTCCACTTGGCGCGCAAAACCCGTAGCTGGGAGCCACTGCCGCGCGCCGGTCTCCTCCGTGGAGCACCCCGCGCCGGCCACCTCACTCGCTCTCGTCCTGCTTACCTCGACGACGTCGCTGCGGGACTTGATGCTGTCCGCCGTACCACTACCGTCAGCCCCCTCCTCCCTTTGCGCCTTGCCTCGCCCACGCACTCGACTGGATGATGGAAAGTATAGGCGCTCTCCACACGCCTCTCCGCTTGCACGATGTGGCACGGCGCTACGGCGGAGCGCTGCGCTTCTGGCCTGTTGGTCCAGGTCCGGCCGTCCGCCGTCCAGCCCGGCCCGTTGCGTCCGAGTGGGCCATAAAAAAATACAAGCAAGGGGAAAATCGCACATTCGCAAGGAATTGAACTCGTAACTATCACGCCATCTGCGGTAGGGTGGTGTGCGCAGTCCTTAGAAACAGCTGAGTTCTGGACCGAACTTTTTATTAATAATTGTCTTTGTTTTTGTTGCAGAGAATTCTGGCCGATGCCAAGAAGTCTTCCCATGATGTCAAAGTAAGTGGATAAGTCAAAATCTGTCCGGTATGTCAGTTTTCTATTTTAACTGGTATTAACCGTTTCAATTCCTATTATTGTTTCAGAAATTTGTTGAAGATCTCCTGGAACGAACAAAAACACTGTGAGGACTGCCATTAAGGAGTGGTGCTACCCAGATGCCACCACTAAATGCTGCAATAGGGCCTGCTGGGCAAGAGAAGCCAGCATGTTGTATACCATGTACTGCAATCAGTGAAATATGAGCTGTGAAAAGCTTTTTATATCAATGTACTCACAGTGACCCACTGTGATAAATTGTATTTACGTGTAATAATTCATACCGTACATATTAGAGTTAGTTTGGTCTCCAGTTTGTAAGGCAAAGGTATAGCGAGAACGTCCCATTGAATAAATGTTTTCGTTTTTGTAACTGAAAAAACATTATTTGATGTATGTCAAATTGACATTTTCTAAGATCTGACAAATTTGATGCTTTGGGATTGTTGAATGTAAATCAGTTCAATAAGAAATTGTCATTTTAATGGTCTCTTCAAGTATCAGTGAGAGTGCTGTTCCATGCAAAAACACATTGAACATGAATGTGCTGTACAATCAGAATAGTTTGTCTGTCAGTAATAACCAAAGATTTTGGAGTTGGAGGAATTACCCAACACACTCATCAAACCTATTTTTAACTTTGAACAATGTTTTCCCAAAATTGCAACTTCTTAACGACTAAATGGGCTCTTCATCAAATAAATCTACAATACAACACCTTTTTTGTGTGAGGTTCCAAACTTAAGCTTCTGTTGAAATTTTAATATTTAAAAAGGCCACTGACCTCCAAACTTTCTGCATGATGAGGACCAAGTTCTGACAATCACACATGTGTGTTTTGACTAAAAATCATAAAACTTACATTTGATGTGAAGTCCGATTCAAAAGATCTAAAATACCAAATTTGTATCAAACATGGTAGATTTTTTTTAAAAAAATCATTTGGAACACAAGATTTTCTGATCACTTGAGTGGAAACTGGGGGAAAGTAGGTTTTAGAATACCTGCACATTGATACATAATTGAAATTGATTGTTTGAGCAACATTGGGTTTGTGGTGATGTAGACCATTGTAGAAATGTGATATAGGAGCAATTGAGGCTGCTTTGTTATTTACACCTAAATAACTGTTAACAAAGAAAAAAGTCTTGAAAGATGTTTGTTGATTTTTTTAACATTATGTACTTAGATGATGCATAAACCATTCTTCAGATTTTAATTGAGAGAATGCCAAATGGTCTGAAAACCATATTGATCAAGTTGTGTTCTAAAGTTAAAGTAGAAATACATAGATGCTTGAGCTCTTCACATACAATTATTTATAACAGCTATAGTTTACTTTGGCACAGATTGCATTTGCAACTGAAAAGAATGTGAAGAGTTGAAAGTATTGTTGTTGATTTCATGAAATCAGTCCCCCAAAATATAGCTTAGGCTGTAATATGAATAGCTTTTTCTTTCTTATTTTGACTGAGGTTACCACAACTCCATCTACTTGGCTCGGCCCCTGAGAAAAAAAACAACTACGATATTGTTACCATTTTTGGCTCAGTGACCGTCAGCAGTTACAAACAAGTTGAGTATTTTAATACCGCCTCACCTTCGCTTGAAATAATGTTCTGTTATGTATGTGATATCAGTTCAGGTTTAAATGATCTTTTATATATATATACATACCCTCCACTGATTTATTTACATTAGTTTCTGCTGGAGCGAGCAGATTTTTGTATATACTTAGCTTATGACCCGTTTTATCTAGCTCTGGTTTGCTGTTTCCTGAGTGCCAAGGTAATGGCTAAAGAGCCTTCCTATTAAGCAAAACTGTTGGTGCTTAAGAAAATTTTTGTTTACATGTAACAAAGTGTCATTAAACATAGTAAACTTTTGTTACTTAAAATTTGAATGGCTATGATCACTGAAGAAAGATTCATTTTCTTTTTAATTTTTTGTTTAGGTGCTGTTACTTCTGCAACAGTAGCGTTTATTATTAAATACATTCTTTTTTAAAAATACAAAGGTGTGATCTCATTACTAAAGCAATTGAAGTAATTTCAACATGATGCCAACTTGCTTTGACAGATGGACTAAAAGCCTGTATGCTAAAGCCTTCAAAAAAACAAAAATAACTGAAAATAAAAAAAAATCAGCAACAAACAGAGAGGGCTTTATACCATTGTACCACAAAAGGCATAAATATTGAGCCAAACCAAGAATGTATAATAACCTTGAATCTCGAATTCATTTTACATCGAAACAGACAATACCTTAGAGGATTATTTGCCTGACAAAATAAATGCCAAATGTACCGTTTAGATAGAAGACAGGTTTTCAAAGTAAGCCTACATAAGAGAATTCAATAAAGAGCTCCAATTTATTTATTCAAATGCTGATTTTGTAAATTGAATTCATTGAATTGTTAACTAATGATGGTCATAACACATATTTATAGCATTATGAATCACTTTTATAAGTATGGTAAGATATGAAAGTAGTTTAAAAAATAATTTGTACCATGAGAAAATTGTAAGTATGTTTAGATCCTTCCATAGAAAATGTCTAAACAGACTTCACAAGTACAATTTGTGTTTTATTATTGCCTAATCTTTTCCATTTGGATAAAATACACACTTCACAAAAAAGTAAAAGAACCTCTACTCTTTGGACAGTATTGTATTGAAATATTCCTGCCAGAAATTTTGAAAAGCAAGGCTTTAAGAGACCATCACAAGAACTCATGTTTTCCTGAGACGCATAACATAACAAAAATAGGTAGTGTTCTTCAAGTGTACAGATACCCATGGAGCAAAACACACATAAAGCTAACTTGTTGCTAACTTGTGTGACAACAAGTATACAGCATCTTCCAAAATAGTAGAAACATGAATTTTCACATTTAAGAAAGAAAAGAATGAAAAAATCATTAGATGGATAGAAAAACACAAAACTAGACCGGTAGGAAAGACAGGAGGGAGATAATAAAATGAAAAAATGTTGGGTATTGAACAGATACTAAAAATAGAATTGGACTAAAAGGCACAATAACAACATACATCACACTAAAAGGCAAAATATAAGTTGTTTTTTTATACCCACGTTAAGAAAATTTCAGTACAAGCAAAATTAGCACCTGACCTACAGCATACCCACAGCCATTAGATTTAATAAAAATAATCTTGCACGTAGATCTGTAGACTTAGAACTCAGCTTCCTCATCTTCCAAATAAACAAGAAACTCATCATCAGAATCCGAATCTGAATCAGGTAAGCCATGAAACAACATTTTGAAGCAAGCTGAGTTTGGGGAGTTGAAATGATTGTAAGGATTTCCAGGATTTAATCTTGTATTACACAACCAGCAGAAAAATGTGTTACACTTCCAGCATGTCATTTTGTTGCATCCATCAGATTTCTACAGAGTAAAAACAAAAAAAATTAAATTTGTATCTAACAATGTTGCACTGTACTAAAGACATAGCATAGCAGATCAATCTTTTTACCTCAATTGCAGTCTGACAGTGAGGACATTTCTTGGAATTTCCTTTAATCCATTGTTCTGAGTAGCCAGTATCCAGTAAATTTTGCAGTGTCCTACGGCCATGCTTCTTTTCCAGGAAGCGTTTCCTCTCAGCTGAGGCAGATTCATACTCAGCAATCAATCCGGAATCTTAAGAACAGAAATACATACACAAAAATGTTACAGATATTATGGTAAATAGAGTATATATTAATTAACTTTGGAAAACAGTTAAAAAGAGCACACTACAGTACTGACCTATCTTAAGACGACATGGATCAATTCCATGGTAGCCCATCCGACACAGGGTACAAAAAGTATAGGAGCAATGCGCGCATCGGGCTAATTTTTCTTCCTTATCATAAGTTACAGGATACTGACATGTTTTTCGTGGGCAATAAACAATATCTTCCATTCCATCCAATGCAGAAGATAGTAAAAGTTCATCATAACGTGCAAATAGTTCTGGACTTACCAACTTACATATCTGTAATTAATAAATGTGTCATTTTCTTTTTCCAAGGTGATCCAAAACTAATTGTCCAATATAAGAGGCACACACCAACCTGACTTTGAAGTGCTTCTGACTTGCATCCTTTTTCTGGACAAATCAATCCGTGTATGTTACCATCCTTTATATTAACTTCAAAGAATGTTCCGATACATTCACAACAAAAAATGTGTCCACAGACATTGAACTCAATACATTGGCTTCCTGGTTTGTCCTGTAAAAGAAGTTGGATATTTATCTTAACTTCAGCCATTTTAGTCCTGAAATGACTAACCAAGCAAATAACTGTAGTCGAAGTATGTACTTACATCAAAGCAGATAGTGCACTGATAAATATTCCGCTGGAATTCTTTTTCACACTGTTCTTTATTATATTCAATTATATGATCTATGAGAGATCCTTGTAATGATTCACAAGACACTGCACGACTGTCTAGCCTGTTCACAGTAGCAGATTTAGAGTTGGACTCTGGACTTTGAGGGTTTGGGGAATTAGGACTGTTAAGCATACTGGAAGATTCTTCGATATGTGGTTTATTAACTGATGATGGGTCTTGATTTGATCCATGGCCCGTATTGTCAGGTTGATGACGTGCTCTCAGAAAATTTCTCCCTCTTCCTCTGGCCTTTCCACGGCCTCTCCCTCTCCCACCAACCAAGTTTGCTGTTGTGTGTTGAGACTTAACTGAAGAACTGAGGGTAGATGAACTTCCAGAGGTTTCAGATACTCCAGCACCATCTTGTGGTGGAACAACACTGACTTGGCTCTTCAGCAGCTTTTTCCTTTTATCAAGTTGAACCATATTGTAGGTGTATTGCTTGCTAAGGTTTATAACAGGTTCCAGTTCAAGATAGTTAAATGTGTCTTCCTTCAAGAAAGACAACCATAAAAATAGAATTTCAAGGCCTTTGTTTTCTTCCCATAAATTATCAAGTTTTTCACATAGCCTTGAAAGCTAAAACAAAATTTGCAATAAATAATAAAAAATCCAGGTAGAAAGGAAGAAAATGTTATTGAGATGATTCATTTACCTGTTTGCGTCCTAGCCAAACACAAACTAGGGTAAACCTGGGTGGTGATGTTGAGGGATAATCGGGAGGAAGCGTAAATGCAAACTCAATGGGTGGTAGAAATTTGAGAGAGAGTTCATTGAAATCTGCTGGAATTGGATTTTCAGTATGACTTGGTAGACGGCTTTTGAAACATTCTAAACGGTACTGTAACTTAATTCCTCCATCCCCAGGAAGAGTTACAAAAGCTTTGAACTGGCCACTAAGCTCTCCATCTTCTTTCTTGTAAGAAAATTCATCAGTGTCATATATACTTGCCAATGCCAACATTTCATCATTTTGAGCATCAATGTCGTTTGACATCTGAAAGAAAATTATAACTGTAATTTAAAGTTGAAGGAAAGTAAAGTAACCTAACAAAATAGAAGATACATCGTGATTATCGAGAAACTGCGAAATGACATCTTGACACCGAAGCTTCAAAGTAAAAATAAATGCCACAGGTGGTGAATATCATCCTCATTAACGGTTTAGAGAAAGTATTAATCCAATTTCAATGGTAGAATCAAATTGACAAACGAAAGTTGGATCCATCTGACTTTGCAGGCAATTTCATTTACAACAGTAACAGTGCTTTGACGTGATCAAACTACTCGATGACAGATTAAAACTGAAAACCATTCATACCAGTAGGACGTATGTTCATTAATTAAAATGTATCCTTGAAAAATTCAATTTACCTTTAAAGTTGATAGAATCGGCGATTGCGGAAGAAAGTCAAGTCGTGTTTAGTTAATGTTTGTATTTATGTTATTCTTCTTGGTCTTGTGCTGGTTTCTCGCCTTCTAGAAAAACTTGCAAACGTGTTCGCCAAGTTTTGTTACCTTCTGCTCCCATAAACCGGTGTCGTGTACGCTGGAACGTACCCACCAGAACTTCACCGACTCATCTTGTTCGAAAAGTGACAGTGTAAACTTGTTTTTCGTTATGGCTCATTTTGGATTTGATAGGTTTTCTGCAGGGCCTTTGTGGCATAATGGCCCAGCTCCCGGTGGAATTTACAATTTTCCTGGGCGTCAGGTTGAGGATTCTGGACGTTTCATAGAGCGATCAAAGTAAGTCAAATCATCATCATCAGCTTGCCTTCATGTTCATGTCATCTTGGTTACTTCTCTTTTGTTGATGACTTTGTCGACATTTTCTCAGTTATGGAAGTATATTTCATTTAAGTATTTCTCTGGCCTTGGTAACGAAACTTTGTAATCTTTATGAAATGCTAATTCATTCACAGCCAGATGTGTCAGGTTATGTTTTTGTCACTGTCTTTTCAATATTTTCAATCTATTGACCTTGATAATTGCAGGCAACCCATTACGACTGGAACGTCTGTCATTGCTTTCAAATTTGATAATGGAGTTGAGAAGGGAGTGGCCATTGCGTCTGACATGCTGGGTTCATATGGCTCGCTCGCTCGCTTCAGAGACTGCCGAAGACTCTTCAAAGTCAACAATCAAATTATCATTGGTGCTGGTGGAGATTACGCTGATTTCCAGTATGTGCAAAGTATGATTGAACAGAAAAAGTAAGTTATGTAACTGTATTCTTTCTTAAGTTTTGTAAAGTTAATGTATTTTTCGTCTTATTGTGTTTCTTATCCTTCTTAATTTTTTAAAGCATTGATGATGAGTGTCTAGACGATGGATTTAGCATGAAACCTAAAGCAATCTACACATGGCTTACCAATGTTCTTTACAATAGAAGATCAAAAATGGATCCATTCTGGAATAACTTTGTAGTAGCTGGTATTCAAGATGGTGAACCGTTAGTACTTTTTTTAAAATTGTGCCTTCCTTTCAAATTATGGATTTCAATTAGTCTTGAACTCTATCCTTATCTAATTTTTAGGTACTTGGGATCCATTGATAAACTGGGAACTGCCTATGTGGATAACATTATTGGAACTGGTCTGGGTATGCAAATTGGTGTACCTCTTATCAGAGAGGCAATAGAGAAAAAGCCTGCTATGTCAAAGAGTGAAGCTCAGCAACTGCTCGTTCACACAATGGAAGTTTTGTTCTACCGCGATGCCAGGAGTTTTCCCAAGGTACGGTAATCAAATGACAAGATTGCAATACTTCCATAGAAATTGTCAAATGTTCTGTAATACTTTTGTCTCTATTTTATTAGTATCAAATTGGAATTGTGACCCCTGATGGAGTAACTATCTCAGATCCTCTTTATCTTGACAACCAGAAATGGGGATTTGCGCTTTATGTAAGTACTTTTATTTTCTTGTGTATACTTGGTTTTGAACTTACGAATTTCACTGATCTTTTCATCTTCTTTTCAGAAAAAGTGAACAGCATGACTGATGTTAAATTCATTTCACTGATGGAAGATTTACTTTATTTGAAGAGATGAAAACTGTGTCCTTCCAATGCAACTTTTTAAAAATATATTCCTCTTACGTTAATAACAGAAGTTATGTTTAATTTAATAAACTTGAAATTTATTTATTAGATCTACACTCATATACAATATTTTACACTCAACAGATGGTTTGTTTGTAAAATGTTATCACATAGTCCTACATTCCTCTACATAACCACTAGTAATGAGGCATCAATAAGACCTTTCAGGATGTAAGAAGGCAGAAACATTTATCTGATTCTGCAGCAATTAGACCTCACCCACCAACATGAATTCATAGAATGTAGCTCTAACATTTTCTGATACAGAATACATTACATCACAGACAAATTACCTCGGTGGCCCAACATCCAAGATGCCATTGATTCATGATACAGGATTATTCGGCACTTAAACCTCAATCTACTATTTTATGGAGCTACAGATTATTGCACATCCAGCATGCATTATACCATCCAGTCAACCAAAATAGATAATTTACCATCAGGTGAAGTTATGTTTCTTCACCAATACAGTAGAGGGGTACTAGAGAACACAACAGAGTTATGCAGACCTGCACATGCAAAATGGATGGATTATCTAAACACAATCCACAAAAAGAGAAAGAAAAAAAAAAGGTCATCCACATCTTACAGAAAACATACTTTCTGTGGTGTAATGTTTGGAATAATAGTATAATCTTAAGTACTTTCAAGAAACCATAAACATCAATTGCAAGAATGTTATACTTACAGAGATTTGTCTTTTAGAAGGGCAAGAAAAGTTGTTGTCTAGGTTCATACCTATAAGTTACTGATATAGAATAATTATTTTTTGCAATGTTTGCACATAGATTGCAATATAAACCAACCCAAAATGTGGTGTCTGATTGCCTTCATCTACACTCTGGAAACAGTACCAGGAATCATCACAATATGCATTCTAAGTAAGGGTTGACAACAGTAAAAGGATGCTTCTGTATTACAATTCTTAAGTTTAAAAAATGCTGAGTTTCAAATATTTTATTTGAAAAACGGAATGCGGTCAGATCTTGAATCAAGTGAGATTAAACAAGTCTTAAAAGTTTGAACAGAAGTCAATTTATGCACACTTCTGTGGTGTACATTCTTTATAATATATATGCAACATTGAGCGGAAAGATCAACATTGGTCAACTTAACAAAACAATTGGAGTATAAAATTCCAAAATACATTAAAGAACCTAACATTTAAAACAAAAGAATGCTTGGAAGTGAGGCCACACATAAAAAGATAAGGGAAGCACTTGTTTTTCACCAGGTTGTGCACAGCAGCAAATTAGTAACCTAAATTCAAAGAGAGTGGCACTCAAAGATATTTCAGTCAATGATTAGCTCCACTTGATGTTGTACCCTTTCCAATTGGCACTTGGTGCCAAATACACTCTTCGTTTGTTGTACATGAACGTAACAATACCCCGATAAGCAGTCCTTGGCACCCCACTCTGAAATTTTTTAAAAGATAGATAAGATAGATATTTGATATTTAAAAACTAAAACAAAAAAATAGGGAAATGATTGAGTGAATTTACCCTAAAATCATCCATGAGACCAAGCATCTTGGCTGTTCTTTTAAACATGTCTTTGGTATGATACTGAATTCTGACATCACCATCAAATGAGATTTTTCCTGTCTTTAATTCTTCATAAGAGATAATAGGACTGTCATAAACCTTCTTGACAAAATCGACATCATATACATCCTGAAATATCAACCCAAAATAAGTCCACAGGAGTAATCACAAATAGTAATCAAAATGCCCAAACCATGAAATAAAAGATCTGTTACCTTGTGTAAATAACTCAGATCCATTTTTGTGAATTGCACAGGCTTATCATTTAATTTTATATATTTAAGATGTTTTTCATAAAAGAGACCACTAAAAGTGAGAAGATTAGATAGTTTAGAAGCAGAGAATATGTAGTAAAATCATGTGTCAAGGTTTTTAATGAAACTTACTTGCTGACCCCAACTTTCCCAAAAGTCCTTGTACGAGAAACTTCTGGTCTTATACAAGCCCTACCCTTCCTTTGACCAGGATCTCTTATCCAGTCATCCCAATACCTAGAACAGGTAGGCAAATGCAAAATAATAAAATGTTATTAAAATAAACCTAATTTTTCAAGATAGACAAAAACACAACATAAACTTACGATTTAGGCCACTTCATAGACAGTTCTGACCATAATGGGCGAGTTAGCATCCACCCAAGTCCAGGGAAAAAGTCGGTGCGATAAAGAAGTTCTGGGTGTGATGTATCCACTAATGCAGCCTTCCCATTATCATTCCATGCTGAGACACACCACAATGATGGATCTTTCAAGAGAAGTTCATGAGTGCCAAGAAAGTATTCAAAAAAGTCTGGCGCTACTTCCAGATCATCTGCAATTTGTAAGTTGTAATAGAGCACATTAAATTTAAAAATCAAGATTTCCAAAATTTACAGTGAAAGAAAAAAAAAACAACAACCACCTTCAACAATAATTGCAGAATTGTAATTCAGGGAAAAAAAAGTTTGATTAAGTGCCCATCCATAGTGTCTTGCAATTCGAAAATAACCTTTAAACTTTTTTTCTTTCGGTGGAATAGGAATGTCACTCTGGTCTGGTTGCTGAGGGGGAGAAAATCATGTAAATCAATGAGAGTGTAAAATGCATCCCTAATATTTTACACTTTACAACAATTTAGAACCTGAATAAATGTGATCTGATCCCCATAGGCGCGAATAACATCTGCAGTTGCAGCATGCATACAATCCTGGGAAACAATGATTGGAAATTGCTGTTTGGATGGTCGGAATCGCAAAAGTCCATCTATGCATCTGTTGACTGTGACACGATTGCAGGAAAAAACTAAAATTGCAATAACTGGCTCCTTCAGAGTGCCATCTGCTCCCTGAAAATAGAAATATTGATCAGTAAATTTTTGACACCAACACGTCTTTAATCAATGTGAACATGGCAGAAAAAATGAACCTGATTTTCATCTTGTACTTCTGAATTGTATTGAGTTTCTTCTGGATCTGGTGGATCAGGTACATATGAATCTGCAGCACCAGTATTGTCCCCTCCCTCAAACGTGTCTACAGCACTCTTAACTTTTTGAAGAATATTATTACTACTGCTTCCTTTGTTTCCATCTTCTGAGAAAGAAACAGAGATTGAAATATGTAAAAGCAGGGCTGGATGTTGATGGTCTGACCAATGCACCAGTACTTACTTTTATTAATTAATGATTGAATATGGTTGATTAAAGAGTCATGTACATGCGCTTCTTCTATTAAGGTGGATTCTAATTTACTAAGTCTTTCCTCTAATTCTGCGTCTTTCTGTAAGGCATTTAAAAAGATCTAATGAGAACAAACTAATTTTTCTTATCGTCTGATCACTAGACAGCAGCACATTATGAAATTACATTAAATGTGGATGCTGTTGGCCATGAACATGGCCCTAGAGAAAGCAACTTAGAGAGTTCATAAAAAATGCAAGGTGACACTTACCTTGTAATCTTTTGAAGAACTGAGAGGGTGAAAGAATAATAGAAAAGATGTCATTAAGACCCAAACACAGAGCACCACAAAAGCACAGGCAACAGCGTCCTTTTTCCGCATTTCATTAAATTTTGACTACATCATCTGGAAAAAAAATAGTTTAATTAGTTTCAATACAAAAGAGAAAATACAAAATACCTCCAAATGAGAGCATGAAATTCAAGATAGTCAAACTTTAAGATTAGTTTTTTCCAAAACAATATGTGTTGGTACAAAATTGCATAGTTCATGAACATTTGACAAAGTCCACTAAATTTTACCACAATGCCCCATAAAATAGGTTTGTTGTTGTTGAACAAATAAAAAATGATGGAAAAAGAAAAGAAAAGTGCAAAAATAGTAAACACAATAAATTTTGAACCTGGATCATCAACTGTTTGTATGAACGTATTTTGGAAACTAGCACAATGTTTCTTTTAAAAAAAGGTAAACCACCAAAGATAAAAGCTATTGATAAAGGAAAACTTCTGAAAAATGTACCCTAATACAATAGTATTGACTTACAAAAGGTTAAGGTAGAGCCTACGAAGTGGTGTTTTCCAGGGGATGGATTGGTAATTTCAAAGAAAGACAGGGACACATTTTGATTGAGTTCTAGTTTGCTTGTTCTCAGATACAGTCCACGAGGTTATCATCAGTGAACATTGTATTTGTGCTAAATATTTCGATATTTCAACAACTTCGTTCTGACAAGCAGCACAGCAGCAGCAAGGGGCGATTACGACGACACATTAAGAGTTGGCAACAGTGTTGTTCGTACGATAGGAAAACAGGGAAAATGTCACTTTGCCAGCTGATTGTAGCAGTTGGTGATTGTTTGTTCGTGATATTTCTACCATATTTAAAATTACGAAAGGATTTGAACGATATGACCGATTCAGTGTGAACTAGACGTTTGTTTCTACAAGAGAAATTTATCTTTTGTCGATACGAGCTGGTCAAATTGTCTCTGGATCGAGAGTCTAACCGCGGGAAACTCAATTTCAGCGCTGAAGAAATTTGACTCCACATTAGAACAGTAGACCACAAAACACAAACGTGTGTGAATTCTAAGGAGAGAAGTTTTAAAACAGAAGAATTAGTAGGAGTGAGAGAGAGAGAGAGAGAGAGAGAGAGACAGGATATTGAGCACCCGTCTACGTCTAT